TGAAATAGGAAGAAAAGGGGCAAAGGGGAAGGGAGTGGGAGAGGTAGGGGAAAGGAAAGAAGAGAATGGAATTTACATGAGAAAATGAAAAAATGGACACAAAGTCTTTGTAAATAGGGAGGGATGGAGGGGTTGAAGTGGGGGGAGGGGAAGGGGCAAAAATGAGAACCAAGAGAGTATGTAAAGGTGCAAATTTCCAGTGATGAATGTCATTATATTGTATACCTAAAATGTGCTAATACAATTAATTTTTTAAAAATCTTTATTCTGTGTACATAGGCAATATTTTCTCATCCTGTTTGTATCTCAGGGTTTTCATGTATTTCTAATTATCCTTCTAGTTCTGATGGTTACTCGATTTTCTTCCAAGAAAAACCTTTTTTCACATTTAAAAAGTTATTTCTCTATGAATTCTCAAGGCGTTCAAGGTTACCTTTCGCATTTTAATATGTACCTTACTCATTGCATGTGGAAGAGTATACAGTCCAGGTTCCTAAATACATACCTGTTTCTCCCTGAACATAAATGAAACAGATTGTGATTTCTTCCAGAGATGTATAACACCAGCTCTATCAAGAATATTCCACCTACATGTGGGCCCACTGTTGTCTGTCTTCTGTTCCTGAGATGCATTTGTCCTTTTATCTGCTAATGATAGTCTCATGAAGGTGGAATTTGAATGTCTTTCATGTACATTATGGAAGCTTCTCACTTCTTGCTTAGATGGTATTGAATGTTGTTAGAATTTTATTATACCATATAGCTGTAATTGTTTCATCAAATTATGTATTTGCATTATGTATTTGTTTTATGTATATGGTGTGATACCTAAGTGACACAAAGCTTTTTTGGAAGTTTTCCTTTTTTGTGGGGAGTTTGATATAGGATCTCACTTTGTATTTCAGACTGTTCTTGAACTTACTATGTGGCTGAAGCTGTCCTCAAACTCATGGCAATCCTCCTGTGTGAGCCTCCCAAATGCTGGGATTACAGGCATGTAGCCCCACACTTGGCTGAAATTTTCCTTTTTGTTATTGTTTTCTTTTTTGGGGGGGGACCGGGGATCAAACTCAGGTTCCTTGCGCCTGTGCAGCAGGTGGCGAAACCACTGAGCTAAATCCCTGGCCCTTCTTTCAGTTTTCTGACACAAGGTCTCACTGTGTCATTCAGAGTGGGCTTGAATTCACTATGTAATCACGGTTGGCCTTGGCCATCCAGGCAGTCCTCCTGCCACAGCCTCCCGAGTGCTGGGATTACAGGTGTGCACCACCATGCCTGGCTCTGTAATTTTCTTTTTTGTGCCTAACTACTCTGTGCTGTATTGGTTTTCAATGCATATGATACATTTTATTCATCTTCCAGCTCCCCTAGAATCTCTTCTATCTGAGAGCAAGGTGACCACTTCGTGACACTGAGCTATAAGATAATTTGCCAGCCTTTCCCTTTTTTCAATGTTCATATACTCGTTCCAAGAAAACTGTTTTTCTATTAACATTTAAATTGTTATTCATATACCATATTGGATGTTCAATTATGTTTTTTTTCCTATGGAAGCAAATTCAAGTTTCAAAATGCTAGTCCAGGTATGTAGCTCAGCGCACTGTGCCTGCCTGGCAAGTGCAAGGTCCTGAGTTCGATTCCTGGTACTGAAGAAAAAGGTTTTTTTCCAAAATGCTGCTCACATGCAATCAAAGAAAGAAGGACTCAATGCATAAGTGAAGAGATACTTCCTGTGGTCTCTCAAAGTCAATCATTAGATACTCATGTGGCCCAGTGTTTTGTGGATGATGATCTTGTAGGCTCCCTCCATGAGCTCTGCTTTAGTGACAGTGCACAGATGCCCTTGCAGTGACCCAGCAGAAGAACCAGTGCTCCTATTCTGCTGCTGCATTAGCAATGAGTGGCAGTCTTCAATCAGAATTGCTGTCTGAAGAAAATGTGCTTACACATGGAATTAATATTTGAAGGATTCAGCCTCCATTCAGCTTTTTTGTTTTCTTTTGTTCTTTTGATACGAGGTCTAGCTATGTAGTTCAGGCTGGCCTCAAACTCACTGAGGGGCCCACACTGCTCTTGAACTCAGGCCTCCTTAGTGCTGGGATCACTGATATGCACCACCACATCTGGCTCACAATTTAACTTTATGAGGAGAGTTGAGATATCTGGGGCTGTGAGTCTCAACCTTCCCTTGAGAAATATATGTGTGATCATTTAGGAGGCAGTGGCCTTTGAGGATGTGGCCGTGAATTTCACCATGGAGGAGTGGGCTTTGCTGAATCCATCCCAAAAGAATCTCTACAGAGATGTGATGAGGGAAACCTTTAGCAACTTGGCTGCTATAGGTAAGGATGACACCTCTTTCTCATTTATACAATCAGAGAATATTGTTTGTTGCTCATCAGTGCTGTTTCATTAAAAAGAATGCAAAAACATTTTGAAGAATGTCTCCAGCCTGGTTACATTATACCATGAATGCAATTGGAATCTATAAATTTTTATGTAATAATATAGTGTCTTCTTATATTTCTTTGCCTACAATTCAGGAAAAGTGTGGGATCACCTGGAAGTTGAAGAAGAATACAAAATTTACTGGAGAAATCTAAGGTAATTTGCACTCACAAGGAAAATGAATGTTCCTCAAGAGTCAGGGTGTGAAGAGAAACATGACAATCAAGGAAATGTGGCCAAGTTCAAATTAATGTCCGAAATATTCTCCAAAGATGTGTACAGCTTCACTATGTATAATCTGACAAGGGAATTATGAAAATACATGAAGTTGCATTTAGGTATTGTAGATAGGTACATGTACTTATCATGTACAAATTTACATGTACAAAGTCAAAATGTTGACTTTGTCGAGGAATCCCTCTTTAGGATATCTGTTTTGGTATACATGCGAATATAAGACATTCAGCATCTAAAAATTGCTAACCTGGAAGCAGTATTCAAAGTAGAAATCAATGCTGGTGTTGTAATAGGTGTTTTATGCCAACCTGGAAGCAGTATTCAAAGTAGAAATCAATGCTGGTGTTGTAATAGGTGTTTTCAAGCCATTCCCCAGAGAATTGAGTCCATTCGTGATTTAAAATTCTTAGAAGACACCCTCTAACATTGCTGGTGGAATGTTGAGTACAGCCACTATGGTAATCAGCACACAGATGTCTAAAAAGTAAAAATAGATATTCTATTTAATCAGGCATATTCCTAATGGGTATGTTCTCAAAACAGTTAATATTATACAGATACATGTACACCCATACTCGAAGCAGGCCAATTTCTAACAGCTCAGCCCTGAAATGAGCTTACATGTCCATCACTGGATGCACAGACAAAGAAAATTGTTGATAGGCTCAGTGTGATGTGGTTTCTTGTAAACCCAGCACTCTGGAAAGCTGATTCTGCAGGATGGCAAGTGGAAGCTCAGACTGAGCTACTTAATCATCAGTGAGAATTTCTCAAAATAAGAAAAAAAAAGGGTTGGAGTTCTTTAAAAAAAATATATTTATTGGTACATTTTAGGTATAAAATACATTTACATTTATCATTGGGTGTTTGAACATGATGCATCTTAGTTTTTATTTTTTCTCCCATTACCTGTGCACCCTTCATCCCCTCCACCTTTCCCTATCTACACAGAGTTTGATTCCATTTTTTTTTCTCATAATTTTTTTCTTTCCCTTCTTCCTTTTCCCCTTTCCCTTCCACCATCCCCAAACCCTTGGACCTTTTCTTATTTCAAATTATCAATTATTCATTTTAA